CCATTGCAAGTCTCCTGCCAACGAAGACACTTGCAACTGGTGGTGATACCAGACCTGATCAGTCTGGCGTACCTGCAGTTTTACCTGAGTCAATTCCTCGTGGGCCCTGCTTGTAACTATAACAAGATGTCCAGCCTTTGCATCGGTTCTTCATCGGTAGATGTGCATTGTCGCTTTGGATGTGTCGATTTGGAGTTGGAGGCCATGTAGGCTTTGAGTGCTTGGAACACCATACTTTATCTGTCCTGGTTTTCTTAGGTTTTGCACTTAGGCTGGCGTGTGGCAACCGCTTTCAGTTCCGCGCGTAAAATCATAAGTGTGTGTGCATGTTGTGTTCGGTATTTTGTTGGGCACAATAGACCGGAACGTCCTGGATTTTTGTTTATCCATGTGGAACTTAAGAAATACCGTGGTAAGACTATAATGGTAAGATAATACTGTAACATCCACACTTGATGTGGGCAATTGCGGAAAGTTGACCACTGCCGTTCAACAGCATCCGAGGTCAGGGGTTGGGTTTGAACCCCCACTGTTCGATGGCTGTCTTTCTTCAGGATGGTTTGATGTCGAAGGATTGCAAGAAAAACCTTAACGTTGCTTGCAAATATCTCTGGCCATCTCTGGCCTATATAATTACTGTATACCATTCAGACTCAAGAGAACATCCCGTATTTTCGAATGACTTGTGGGGCCCTCCTGGGGCGGCCTCGATTCCACCGATTTTCTGCCGCCTCCTCGTCTCCATCGGCCGTTGGCCATGTTCCACGGGGGTCACGGCCCGGGCTTCACTGCTACTCCTGAGCAAGTGACATGTGTCTCTTACAGTATACCATCCTCATGTTGAAAATAGCTCTCCGGGTGTTGCTTTTGTTTTATTCTTGATATAGCGCCTGGAACTCAACAGGGCTTCTGCTCGGCAGGGTTGTGGAGTTCTTTACATTAGCTACTGCCAGCTAAAACCCACCCAGGCTTGCAGCTTTAGCAGTATCTCCTTCGCCCAGCCTCAGTACGTTGGACAACGATATAGAAATGAAAAGACCATAAAATTCCAGAGCAACAAAGAAATTAACACATTTGGCTCTGGCCTGATACATTCCCAGCCACATCCAAGATAGACATGGATCCAATATGGATCCAATGTAATATAAACCCTCTTTTCATCTCTTTCAGATCCCTTTACTGCAGCAGTTCGTCATCCTGGATTCACCAGTGACGAAGAAAGGAGCATTCGAAAGCACTGCAAAAAAGGCTCCCTACTCTCCCAGGAAGCGCATGACATGCATGACACATGGAGCGTTCTTGTGGAAACCCACATGGATCTGACAACTATGACTTATATGTAGACTTATGAAGTAACTAAGAGGCAAACAACAAGATAACATAATAAGTATAGTTCTTACAATGTTAGAGTCATTACAATGTACTCTTGCACAAGTGCATCTCTAGGTTCTATGTTGCCAATGTAGCTGGGAACCCGGACCCTATGAAACACGGGCGGGTGAAACGAGATTCTGACCCGAAATCGGGACGCAAAAGCGTGGCCCAGCCGAGACGTGCGGATGTGCGAGGCAAAAAGGTGTTCAACGGATGATTCATGCAGCAACAGTGGGATGTAGTCTCTCTTTGTGCGTGGCCACACGACATGTAGGGGCCACATTGTGCGATCATCAGAATGCTATCAAAGTGGAGGGCCCTCATGAGGCCAGATCTGTGTTAAAACATCCAAAACTGTGAGCAGCACTCATGCACCAGCACTTCTCTAAGCGCCGCAACTGCCAGGTTGCAAACAACGCCTGCGATTCTCCCGGCAAGTTGTGGGCGCTTTTTCTTGGCTTGTTCGGCATGGGCCTGTGATTGAAGCGATTCTGGGTGATGGATGTAACTCTACAAAGGGCACCATCACACCAAGCAGTCATGGTGGCCAAAGGGGTGCGGAGGGACCAGGTTTCCAACAGAATGAATTTCAAGCATCGACATTCTGAGCGGTTCTTGAGATTTTTACTCCAGTCCCAGTCCGTTGAACCCCGTTCGTGCTCGTCCCATTCGAAAGATTCATGGGCCTGCACGACCAACTTGAGCCAGCTGCATGCTATTATACCTTCCTGGGCTGCGTCCAGTAAACACCAGTTGCGCAATCCACCTCTCAAAGAGTTCTCGCCGATTTCCAAAGCTGGACACATATGTTTCAAGATTTAACGATGTTTCAACAGTACTAGCAACCATGCTAGCAACTTTCAGAGTGAATCATTGTGAGCTGAGGCGAAAACAAACATCATATCCAAATGTTTTTTTGGGCTTTGCCTGTGCTAACACGTTGATTTGATGATGTCCCCAATGCCAATGTCCGGTTGATCATTTCCTTTGGAATAATGAAAGGCTGAGAGTGCAAATTCCAACCGGTCTGCTGCGTACGTTGATAAAGAAAGACAAAAAGAAAGAACCAACAAATCATCAACTTCAGAAAAGGGAACTGGCTGACACATGGTTTTCTACTGGTGATTTTGACAATCCCAGATCCGCAGGGTGTTTATGATGACTATGACTATATTGACATTTTGAACCAGTCGTATAGGTGAACCAATCACACACATCCCTTATGAATCCTATCCTGTTGCATTGGTCCATGCCCGCTCTAAATCTTGGGAAGAAAGGTCTCCGACCACAGCCCCAGATGGAGATCAGAAGATTGACTCAACAATGGCCAGCGACTAGGATGACTAGGAGTTGTCAGATGAGCCATAATACGCAGGAGCGGTACCACCTCAGTGGCAGTGCTCGCTGAAACCATCGACGTCCATCTTCAGCTCTTGGACCCAGGTCACCGCGGTGGGGACCAAGGTCACGGCGGTGTTTTTCCCCAAACAGTTTACTATATAAGCTTATTGTTTCTAATAGCTTCTTGTTCCTAGTAGCTTATTGTGTTGGGGTTCTATCTTAGAAAAAAAAGAGCTGGCCACTCCCAGGCCACTCCCCTGTTGGTATGAGTTGCTTGGTCACGCAACCACACGATGACGTGCGTGACCGCTCGCGCGAAGGGACCATTGACATGGAGAAGATGGACACACTGCATGTTATACAGAATTGCTTTGAAGGAGCTATAGAAACCATTGAACAATAGGAGCTCCGTGGGGAGATGCCATTGAACAATAGGAGCTCCATAGGGAGATGCCATTGAACAATAGAGGGAGATGTCATTGAACAATAGGAGCTCCATAGGGAGATGCCATTGCAAAATAGGAGCTCCATAGGGAGATGCCATTGAAAAATAGGAGCTCCATAGGGAGAAACCATTGAAATGATTCGTTGAAACGATTCGTCTTCCATCTGAGCGCGTTCCCACGGAGTCTTGTTCTTCGTGTCGGTTCGGCTGCAAAGACGGGTCGTTCTGGTTTGACATTCGGAAGCAGAACCGGAACACACACACATACTCCATGAGGCGTGGACATGCGTTGACGACCCAAACCTGACTTGATCCATGATCCCATGATCCCTGATCCCTTGTTCCCAAGCGAAAGCGCCCATCTCAAAAAGCGGGGCTTGCGCGAACAGCTCTGTTTCACAAGATCCGAAAGGTCCCAGGTCGCCCAACAGTGGATCTGACCTCGACCGAGCCTTGGATCTTCCTACTGCCCAAGAACCGGCGCCCGGCGCCCGGAGTTCCGAGCTACATCCCAACCCCTTGGAGCTGCATGTTCAACCCATCTACTCTATATCTCATCACTTTTTAGCTCATTTAACATACAATGAGAATGAATGCCTTTAATTATATACTTTGTTTTTCTGTCCATTTTTGCGGGGTCTGATACCTATTCCTTTTCCGAAATAAATAAATTTTCGTTACAGCATGCCTCAACCGTTTCTAAAGAAAATTCCAAACCAAAGCAGCCCGTGTTCTGGAGATGTCTTCCAAACCACAGCGCCCTGAGTTATTCAGATTTTCCAAGTCACCTTTCAAGTCATCAATCTTGTCATAGCCATGCGCGTTGCTACCGCCATGCCCCCACTTCGGATCCTGCAAAAGGGGTTGTAAGCAGTCAACGTGGAGTGTTTCCGACAGTCGTTCATCCGAGGTCGTGCGGTTAGTCACTGGGAGAAGAAGGATAACACATCAGGAAAGCCCACGGACGAATACTTTTAAGGGACGACTGGAGTGATTTGAGCTGTCAAGCGAACAAATGCAACCGGCCCCCCCAAACAAACAGTTGTCTTGGTAGAAGCAACAAACAGCCACCGAACAGAACACCTGCAGGCTTTTCTTCCAAGTTCAAACATCAAAGTCATCAAAACACCGCATCGTAAGCTGTGACACCTAGGGGCGCACCGTGCCGACTGCATCTGACTCAGTAGAACGTCGATCGACCTTTTCAGGGGCTCTTGGCTGTTCCTCCAAAAGATGCCATGGGTTTTCTGTCTAGGTCAGATAGGCTCAGTGTTCGAGTGGAGGAAAAAAAAATCGGATAGTATAGGGGATTCTGCAAGTTTCGGAGTCACAGATTCCACTGAACAGTCAAACCT